GCGACTTTTGTGCTGAGGCGGGAAGGAATCGGGTTAAGGCAGTGATTCTTCCCGTCAATTGTTGTAGTTCCTTTACGTTACGCGGGCTTGTCATGTTGAGTATGACTTTGCATTTATCAGGATTAGCCTTTATCCCGCGATGTGTTAGCATGAATCCTAAAAAATTTCCGGCAGGTACTCCAAACGAGCATTTGGCTGGGTTAAGTCGTAACCTGTACTTGCGCAGTTGTTGAAATACCTGTTCCAAATCTTGGGGATGTTGTGAAGTAGTCATTGTTTTGACTATCATGTCATCGATGTACACTTCAAGCATCTACCCAATCTGCTGACTGAAAACTTTATTCATCATACGTTGATAGGTGGCACCGGCGTTCTTGAGACCAAACGGCATCATGTTATAACAATAGGTAGCTTTTTCCGTGATAAAAGTTGTGGCCTCCTCGTCTGGTGTGAACATTGGAATCTGGTTGTAGCCTGAATATGCATCCATAAAGGATAAAATCTGGTATCATGCGGAGTTGTCGACCCGTTTATCAATGGTGGGAGTGGATAAAAGTCCTTTGGGCAATACTTGTTGAGGTCTGTGTAATCTGTACACATGCGCCACTTTCCATTGGGTTTTTTGACTAACACCACATTAGAAAGCCAAGTAGAATATGTGATTTCTCGAATCACTCCTGCATCAAGGAGTTTTGCTACTTCGGTCTCAACCACTTGTTGCTTCTCTGGGAGATTTTGCGCTTTTTCTGCGCGATGGGCTTAGCTTTGGAATCTAAGGTTAAGTGGTGACATATTACGCCTGGGTCTATTCCTGGCATGTCAACAGTTGTCCAAGCGAAGAGGTCTTTGTTGTTTAGCAGCACTGCCACCAACGGACTTTTCTCTGCTTCTGGGATATGTCATTCAATTTTGGTGATGTTTTCGGGTAATGGACCCACTTGGAGATTTTCCAGCTCCCTGTAACACCCCGTATATATCCGGTAATGTTATCATAATAGCGTATTAAGCTGCGCTTAATTAAAATGCGGAATTACTTTTTCTTTTCAGTTATGATGCCATTAACATTACCAACTTGCTTAATAATCAATTAATAAAACATCGCCTGTATGTAATTGCAATAAAACAGCTAACTGAAATACCTCATAACATAGATAATATAAGTGTGGCTCTAGTCACGGAACTACAACAACGTAGACCGGACCATCTAACAGTTTATACAACTCCAAACTACAAGTACTAACAGAAAGTGTCATGGACAATCCCCATGCTCACTCAAATAAGGCAACATGCCCAACATCAATCTCAACAACAACATAATTATAAAAGGCATAAAACATAATTAGCATCAATATCCAGTCATGCTAACAAATAAGCAGAAGCAACATAATCAGCTAAGCTCCGGCCTCCTGCCGCCTGAGGCATCAGTACCCATACTACCTGATCCTGAAATAAGCATTCCCCAAACGTGGGGTAAGATCTCTAATCTAGAAATCTCAGTAAGTCAGTGAGTCCTCAAGGATCTTCCACCCCAAGCTCACTTACATGTGCAATATAAGTTCAAAAACCGTTTATCATTTATCATTTCTAAAACAATGCAATGCAGCAGATAATCATGCCATGTGTGTCAATACTAATCTACTGGCCAGAGACAGTGCAGGTATACGTCTATCACCTACACACCGTGCAAGTACCACTTGCATTCACCCCGATACACCGTCTTGTATGGCGCTACATACTCAGGCTTCCCGTCAAGATGAAACAACACATGCATATTAAAAGCCATTACATGTAAAGTTCAATCAACATATCAAATATCCAAAAGCATGTACACAACATGCATAAACCATACCCCCATGGGACATGGTGGAACCACAACATGGCTAAACCGAGGACATGAAAGCTTACCTTGCAAGCTAACTCCAAAAGCCAAGAGTCCACAGCTCAAAGTCCAAACACAGCAGATTCACAATCTGTTATGGACCAATACTATATTAATAATAATGCAACACAAGCATATAACTTAAAGACAACGCCTTTCCTTACGTTTTACGTCTTAAGGCTCCATACCAAACCATAAGTCCTTAATCACTTGATTCTGACTTAGTTTAATTAAAACAGAAGTTCAACTTCATCAATCTAGGGTCCCCAAACCCCCAATAGCCTACTGTCCTCACAGCACAGCTACTGTTCTTCGAAATCCCAGAATATTCGGATATTCCTCGGGACCATATCCGGATATGAAATATCCGGATATCTCACTGGACATATCCGGATATCCAGAATCCCATATCCGGATATCTATTATCCGGATACTCAAAACCCATATTCGGATATCACATATCCGGATATTCATCGGGCACATATCCGGATATTTCACGACAGAATGTAGAAAATGCATTTCGTGAAGATATCCTTCCAAGGTTGGGTTTTTAACGATTTAAAGCACCTAAACATGCATTTCTAGGTGTGTTCAACATTACCCAACAACAAGTTATCATCTTTAAGCCTTAACATGCATCAAGCTTTCATTTTTAAGTTCAAAGACTAAAGACCAAAGGTGACAAGGCTTACCAAAGCTCAATCAGCCAACAAGAGGTGCTCTTGGAGCTCAAAAGGTCACTCCAAGGTTCTGTGTCTCTCTGCACACGAAAATGTAAGTTGAAGGTTGGTCATTTCTCCACAAAGAACACACCTTGAAGCTTAACAAGCCAACTCCAAGGTTCCCACAACTCAACTCTCCCACTCAGCCCTTAAAGCTGACTCCCAACAACCTCCCAATTCAGAACACCAGCTCTCTACACACTCACAAGGCCACTCACACAAGGCTCAAGTGTTTGGAGGTGAAGAAAATCAAGAAAGGAAGTGTCTTGGACCCAAAATGGAGAAGAAACCCCAAGGAGCAGCCAAGCTGATCAGCCACCCTCACACACTCACGTAGAGAAACTGTTTTCTAGGGTTTAGTGCCCACTAAGGCTTAAATAGTGGTTTAACAATTAAACACACAGTATTAACTTTAATTGCTACGCTTAGCATTTTAATCCCAAATTTTGGATTCTGAAACTAGACATTTTTCTAAGAATTATCATATTTTTTTCGTAATTTTCTGAGCACCTTTCCGGTACGCGCTTTTCCAAGCCCTTATTATAATTTACCGCGGCAGTTTTCTAGCACCAGTTCTCATTATTTGGATTTGAAACTCGTTTTACAAGTTCTACATATTATTCTAGTAATTAACATGCACTTATTATAATTTTCTGGGATACATTTTTCGGTACGCATTTATACCGACTTCGGTATCTACACTTTTTTCTTCCGAAAAGACTTTCAGACATGAAACACCTCAACACCGACAATAATTTTATTAGCAATATACTAAAGCCTAATATTACTTTTCTTCCGAAAAGCGACTTTCAGCATTATTACTCACATACTATAATTATTAAATTCATAATAATTATTAGGGTCAATTATGGAAATTTCCTAATTTTGCATAATTAATTAAATAAATACCTTAATTAACGGTGCGGGTTCTTACATTCCCCATCTGGTTGAGGACGCACTTTTATCGCGCAGATCTTCGCACATATCAAGACCAGTCATATTGACTGACGCTTTAGCGACTTTGTCATCTATAATTATTAAAGCCTCGGTCAATTATGGAATCATTTCTTAATTTTGCATAATTAATTAATTAAATACCTTAATTAACGGTGCGGGTTCTTACATTCCCCATCTGGTTGAGGACGTGTATCGCGTAGATCTTCGCACATATCAAGACCAGTCATATTGACTGACGCTTTAACTTTGTCATCTGGCTGTATTGGAATTTTAGCTCGTAAGCTGGTATTATAACAGCTACGCGCTGTTTTTTGGTCGCCCCTAATAGCAACTACCGGGCTAGATTTGTCACGAAATTTCATTAGAAGGTGGGGCATAGTGATGATTGCCTTTAGCGCGACAATGGTTGGTCTTCCTAGAATGATGTTATATGCAGACGCGTACTCAACCACATAAAATCGTACTTTGATAGTTCGAGCCAGAGGCATGATTCCAAAGGTTACCCACATCTCAATGGTGCCTTTGGGTTGTACGCATTTCCCAGCGAAGCCAATTAAGTCCGAACATCCATGAAGTAGATGTTCCTCTGGGATGTGCATTGCACGAAAAGCATCCCAGAAAATAATATCAGCTGAACTACCATTATCAATCATAATACGTTTTACCTGGAGATTAGCCATGCAAGCTGAGATTACCAGTGGGTCATCATGGTCTGGGAGGATGTCGCCATAGTCATCATCGTCAAAACTTATGGCCTGTCTTTGATCGCGAGAAGTGGAAGGGCGAGCATGATCGTGCACTGTCATTACTGATTTTAAATGTTTTTTGCGTTGAGATTTAGTCGCACCTCCTCCCGCTGATCCTCCGGCGATAGTGGCTAAAACTCCTGCCGCGTTATTTGGTAGTCCATCGCGTTGTTGTTGCGCGATTTGCTGTCTGTTTCGCGGTGGAGTCCCTTGACGTCTGTCAGTTGAAGCCTCTCTGTCATTTCTTCGATCTTTGTTACGAGCTGGGTTATAGTTTCTCCTGGGATGTGCCCTTTGTTCATTAGGGTTCGGGTCGCGATCTGGGCTTCTATCGCGTCTTCTTTGCGTCTTGTATTCCCTGTAGCTGGAGACGAATTCCTGGAGTTTTCCCTCTCTTATGAGTGCCTCAATAGTATTTTTGAGCGCGAAACATTTTTCAGTTGTATGTCCTTTGTCGTTGTGAAACTCACAAAACTTGGTCTCATCGCGCTGAACTCCTTTTGGCATTGGGGGAGGCTTGTTAACCCGTACATACCCTGTTTGGAATACTTCTTTCAAAATCCGTCTTTGGGACGTATTTGAAGGGGTGTAATTGTCGTATCTTCCCCATTTTATCTTTTCACAGAATTTTCGTTGAAAATTCTTCTGGACATCTTTTTCAAAGTTATCTGTGTCGGCCCTGGTGTTAGAAATTTCTCATGAACGCTTATAATCTTCAAGGTTGATGAATTTTTCTGATCGTGCGCTAAGTTCTTCTATGGTGCGTGGTCGCTGTTTGGCTAGCAACATAGAGAAAGGGTCATCAAGTAATCCTTCTGTGATGATATGTAGTGAGGCTTGTGGATCCAGGTCTCTGACCAAGAGTGCTTCATTAAAGAATCTGTTCAGATAATCGTGCAAAGTTTCATTTGATCCTTGACGTACAGTTTTTAGCGCGTGTGTAGATTTGTATTGGGCCTTGCTGGTTGCAAATCGTACGAGGAATTGGTTGGTCAAGTCCTCCCAACTTTGTACCGAATTAGATGGTAACGCTGAGTACCATCTAAGTGTTGTCTCCTTCATGGTTGTTGGAAACAGTCGACATGCTATTGGATCTGCCACGTCTTGTGCCATCATGTTTGTCTGGAATTGTTCCAGATGTTCTTGGGGGTCCCCTTTGCCGTTATATTTTTCTGTTGTAATCTTGACATCCCGAGGAATTGGGATGTTCATTATGCAGGGAACGAATGGGTGAACAATTCGAGAGAATGACCTTGAATTTCCATGAGAATTCTCATTCTCGTGAGTATCTTTTATTTCTTCACCTTTCTTGATTTTGTGACCCGAAGGTCCAGGGTTACCAGTCGAGTGTTCATGAGGTTGTTCACTTTCATCAGAATTTTCGGGATTTTTTTCCTTCTCAGGGTCTTTATCTTTTTCTTTTCCCTTTTCTTGGTTTTGTTCTTTATTCTTTTGAGCTTTCTTCAATCGAGCTAAATCTCAATTCTGCTGGGCGATTTTCTTGTTTTGTTGTGTGATAAGGTCCAAAAGATGTTGGGGTGTCGGTGGGTCATCCAGATGGATGGGAATTGGTGCCACCGATGAAGCTGATATTGCTTGGGAAGCAGGGATCTCCTTCCGCTTTCCTTTGGAGCCATTTAGGGATTTGCTTCGAGTGTCAACCATGTTTTTAGAGAAAGATGGGTTCTAACAGATAGCTTCCCACAGACGACGCCAATGATCAGACCAAATACACTATGGACTGGCCAATATGTACTGAGCCTAATCACACACGGTTTAGTTGTGAGTGTAGTTCTTCGATCTGGGCTTGGAGTTACGTAGTGGATCGCGCTTTGCCTTTTTCCTTCACGTTGGCACGTTAACACCAAATGGGGGGGCCTGCAAAGACACTCCGATGCTTAAGTCAATATCAGAGGCAAGAGTTTTATGTTGTTAATGTAAAAGATGATCGTACCTTGGTGGTATATCGTTTTCTTATATAGTAGTTACGATGCTGCCTTAGTTAAGGCGGCTTGGCTTCTGAGTGGCCAGGCTTGGGCTGCAGGTCAGTCAGGGGACCTGAGTAGCCTTATCTGCTATAGTGTCTAGTGGTAGAGTCGTGGCGAGCTGGAGCTGTCCGTTGTTTATTGGAATCAAGGCGCGGTGGGGTTGCCTTGGGCCTTAAGTTTACTTCCTAAAGGGGGTTTCCATACGCGATGTGGGTATCGCGTCTTGTCTGTCGCGATGAGGGCATCGCGTCTTGCGCGTTGTACTTGTCCTTTGCGCTTTGCTTTGGGACCTTAATGGGTTTGGGCTTCCTTATGTGTCGATGGGCCCTGATTGGGCCTATATTTTATCCAGATCAAGTTCCTTTTCGCAACTCCCTCTCTCTATTCTTCTCTATTCTCTTCTTTTGTTTTCTAACTCATAGAATTTTTCACAGCTTTCCTTTAGAACTTGCTCACTATCCTCCTCTTTGAGTTCTGTCCTCTTGGTATTTATAGAGCGATCCTTGGAGATTTCTTCACACGAGGGTTTCCTGTGTCTCCTCCTTGATCAAATCATACACGCTTTTTGATTCAACAGTGCGACCCTCCTTACTGCAGAGAGTAAACCTCTTTTTTTTGTATCTTGGGCGGTGCCTTGTATGGGCAGATGACTTTGCTTCTTGTAGAGACTTTGAGCGGTGGCCTTGTTTGTCTTGTAGCATTTATTAATTTTTGTTCTTTTTTTTGTTTATAATTTTTTCTATTTTTTAATAAAAATAATTATGTAAAACAAAGCAAGATTTAAACAGTCTCCCCTTTTTAATCTTTTTTCATTTACAACTAAAAATATAAAACAAACTTAGATAAAAATAATTAAGAAGCCAGATAAAACTAGAAACATTTTTGAATAGATTTCATAATTTTAAAACAAACAATTGCTGTTGTACACATCTTTAAAAATTAAAAATAAAAATATATCCTGACAAAATAGGGTGTTCACAATTTTATTTTTTATTTTTCCTTTTTAATTTTGTATATTTTTTTATGTGTGAGGACAAAATTGAGTGGTTACAAAACCGTAGCAAGTAAATAACAATATTCACTAATGCTGAATTCAACTACAAATTAGGAGACATGAATCAGAAAACGCAACATAAGTAGGGGAGAATCTTAAAGTATTTGTGAATTACATTTTTGGTAAGTTTTAAAATGTCAAAAGAAAAAGTAAGTTTTAGATAATTTTTTAAGAATAAATATACTTACATAAAAGTAATTTATATCATAAAAATTTACTCATCATTCCAAAATAAAAATTTTAAACATTATCTTACCTCATCATCTCCAAGGCTTTTTCTCGAAGGATCGTGTATATATCTTTTCTTGGTGACTCTTGTTTAATCGAAAGGAATTTCAATGATACGTTCATGCATTTGAGAACACGATCATCACAAACCTTTTAATAAAATAAAAGTATTATTCCTGATTTTATATATAATATATATTTATAATATTTTTGAAAACAAAAATATAATTTGAAGATATGAAGTTTGAGAATACAAGAAAAAAAAATTGTGAGTACAAGAAATAAAATATAAACATGTTTAAAAAACCAATACTCCCCGTTTAGCTCTTTCCTTAAGTTGTGAATTCTATAGCCATTTTGAATTCTCACATAAAAAATATTTAACAAATAAAAAGTTCAATTAAATTTATAATACCTTTAAGTTTTGGAAATGAGTAGCCATTGTAGAACTGAGTTAAGGGATATCCATAAAATAATATGGGTTGAGTAAAATTTTAATAGGACTTGATAATTGTAAAACGTCGCATATCACCTTGATCACAATGGCGAAAGTTCTCCTCTCATAACCTAAACCAACTGATCAAAGGCAGGGTAAAAACGTAGGTTGGGAAGCCTTCCAGAACGAATACGTTGAAGACCGAGGGTGTTGGAGTGGATAACGATTGGTAGAAGCTAATGAATAACTATGGTTTGCAAGTATCTAACACCGCGGATCTTGTTAGGATGGCAAGATCAAGAATACCGTTGATGAATGTGAGTAGCCCGGTGCTGAAGTTTTTGTCTTATCAGGTTCTTGGTGTGGATTTTGAGAAGACCAAGAATGCTACTTTTGTGGAGGTTAGATTTGCAAATATTGGAGGTCTTTGACCCCCACTACATATATTTGTAGCATTCTTAGAGCACGTCAGTTTTGCATGCGCCGCAATATGATTACTGGCGTTTTGTGCTTAATTTGGTAGGAAAAGATGTTATCACAATGCATATATCTATTTAATATGAAATCAGCATATACATTTGGTTCATTACATGGTCAATCATACAAATGCAGTAGGAATATGAATACAAAAAAAAAATATACATTCTCCTTTAAAGACAGAAATGGTATCATTTATTCTCAAAGGAAGTTGGGCCACACTTTGATTGCTCCTGGTCTTATATCCTCAAAACGATATCTGAAAATAAATGTCAACAAAGAATAAATAAAGTAATAAGAAACACTATTAATTAACTATATTGTCGTGACTAAGATATATATTTATTACAACAAATTGTATTTCACCTGTTTTCGGTAAGGAAACTCCTCACAGCTAATGGAAGAACAGGTTTGCCTCGACTGTGTTTGCCAACACCTGAATAAAGAAGACAATTGAAAAATCAAAGGAAAACAGTAGGAAAAAAAAATTATGCAAGGAAACCCTGAAAATATATCCATTTAGAAACAAATTTTTTTATCATTGTATTAAATCAAACTACATTTTGTTTAGAGAAAGAACCTAAGTTTTTTATATTTTAAAAATAATAATAATATACCTGTTATGACTTCAACGGTTGGCCCATGCCCAACTTGTTTTGCATGGATTGAATCAACAAACTCATTTTCCTTATTATTTTTATTTGAAGGAAAATGTGTTCTTGACAAGCCCTTACTTTCGATTTTCTCCAAACGCTCACGCAATGCTTGTACAGCTTCTTTTGCATGGAGACCATGCAAATCCAATCTCCATAAGCCATTTGTACGATTTTTAAAATTTAAAATTTCTGTAGCTGCCTTACAGTCAAGCTCACGAGCCATCTTTAATTTTTCTCTTGCCTTCATGGAATGTTGTTTTGCATTTAAATGCTCACCTCTTAGGTAAGCTTCGTTAGCAGACTTAAACTGTTGAGAGGCTGACCTGAAAAGATAAAATAAATCAAGATATCAAAAGAATGTTGTAACATTTCTTGTTATTACTCAATAGATTTCAAAAAAATTAAAAGTGATTATTTTGACATTATTAATTTGACTACAGCTGAGATTGAGTTTAAGGGGTGAGTATTGAGATAAAAAAATCCCACGGATTTTAAATGACATTTTAGAATTGGAGAGACTTTATAGACTTTTTAAAAGACTTTTTTTACAATCAAGATTTCACAGGATTGGATTTTAAAGGATTTTAATAGAATTCATAAGATTTGAAAGGACAATATGGATTTATAAGATTTTAAAAAACCATATGAATTTTTAACAAACATTCAAAATTACAAGAGTCAACACAAAAGGGAAATGTTATACTTACAACCTATTTTTTTTACAACATTTTACAACCATATCTTAACCGTTATTTCTGTCAATCAACGGTTATCATTCATTGCAAATTAAAAATTAATTAATAAGTTTGATTTGCGAAAATAATAATCATTGATTGACGGAAATCGACAGTTAAGATATGGTTGTAAAAGGTTGTAGACAAAAATAGGGTGTAAGTATAATTTTTCCCATAAAAAAATAACAAAGAAATACAATGAAATTAATAAAAAAGTAAAACCAAATATAATTTTCTCAATCAGTAAAACATAACGGGGAAGGATATACTTACTACCAAAAAGTTTACAACATTTACAACTAACTTAATCACCATTGACTTTTGTCAATCTAATAGTTATAATTTATCAGAAAATATTAGGTCGTATTTATTAATTCACAATAAATTATAACCGTTAGATTGAAGGAAATCAATGATGATTACGTTGGTTGTAAAGGTGGTAAAATTTTTTGGTGGGGAGTATATCCTGCCCCAAACATTAATATAATTTTTAACAAACATTCAAAATTACTAAACACCACCTTTTCACATATCTAATGTGTTGAAAATCATCTTCTTTATTTGGTATCAAAGCTATGCATATATGATTATAATACCCAATTTTTTAATTCTAAAAATAATTCTAAATTTGCATATAGA